GACTTACCAGTCAACTATAAACTACACTCCCCCTCCCCCCAAAAAATTAAATGTCTGCCTTCCAAATTCACCACGAGATTTGCTTTACTGAGAACGCCGTAAGATACCACCTCAGTTACAAGATACAATAATTAACAAGCAGAGTGAAGCTAACAAGGCCTACTGTCTTTTAAATGGCCACTAATTCCTCACCCTGGAAGAGACTCAGCACGTTTAAAAATGCTGTGGGAACTGAGCAAGATACAAGAGCCATGCAGTGAAGGAGAACTTTTCCGCCCGCCCATTCCACAGCTTGCTTGCTGACTGTAAGGCAAATATCTCGGAGACCTACAAATTAAGAGAGAGATCATGATCAAACTCAGTTATATAAATCACTAGTGCTGTCATTTTTGAAGCTGCTATGAAACTCACCTGGAGTTGACTGTTTCCTAGCAAGTATTTGTTGCCGATATCAAAAACTTGCTCTGATACCATGAAACTGAATGCCATTTTAGTTATCAGTGGTGAAGGAGTCGGCCTGCAAGCGTAAAGGCTGCACATTAAAACAAACCGAAGGAATGCAGGTCAGAACTTTTAAACGATAAAATTTTTACGATGTGCAACAGTGCCAACTCTAACCAAACTAATGATTCAATACAACCATCTGGTTGAGAGTCCGATAACCAACTTATTCAACACCAACAACAGAAGATTTGTTTCAAATGGGTTACAGAATGAGCCAAACAAATACAGCCTTCAGCTGCTTTTGACGAAACACAAATGCTTCTGTTGGATCACTGGACAGACCGAAAGTAGTTTTGTACTCACTGCAATATGAGGATAACCCACGGCACACAGTTTGTAACATTTGTGAGGATATCTCCGTAAGGTAGTCGCTATAGATCCAGAGACAGGAAGTCATTCCTGTGTGAACCCACTCCAAGATCCCAGTTAAGAGCCAACGGAAGCCTGTAAACAAATTGGAACAAACTATTAAAAACTTCTCTTCTTAAACGAATTTATCAAAGCAAGAAAGACGGACGCGTCATCAGGTCACTTTGAGCTAGTCATTGGCCTGAAAAATTCGACGAAGCCAGCAGGAGAAAATACGAATAGGCTCCAAAGGCTAAGACAAGGAAAGGTTAGGGAACGGCTTCTCATCGAGGCGAATGAAAGCGCAATCACTGCACTCGCAGCCAGACAGTCACCAAGGAGAGCTATATATGCCTCTCATAACAAACCTCGTGGATCGCAGGCCTCACTTACACTCACTATAAAGAAACAAGAAAAGTATGATTTATTTATACGTACCGAAACTCGGACCAACGCTCAGGGGAATTCAAATTTCAAGTTTGGCCGTTACGGACTAGTGCGCTGGATTATCTATCTGTCTGCCGGCAAACACCATCTAGAAATAAATCTGCTTTCACAATTCCCATTATGTCGCCAAACTTGATCAAACAAACGTTAAAACTGGTTAAAACACACTTATTGTTCTTGCTTGAAGTGCTTGGCTTTGGTCTACCACAGAGCACAGAGGGGACGGACGGGTCTACTACCCGCACGACTTCGACGTGCGAATAGTGTATCGGCTAGTCTGGTGGCTTCAACCTCAACGCGTCTTTGTTGTTTCTGCCAAGCTTTCTGCTTAGAAGAAATGCAATTATTGTTCGTTTAATGTTCATTCTAAAGTTTTAGACATGTGTAAGTTTATTTGGCCATTCGCTAAGTAACCTTTTCTCCTTGCCTTGCTGGCTCTCCATTTGGAAATACATATGCCGCAGCACATAACCTGTACGTTATGTAAATTACCCTCAGGAATTCTTTTTTTTAATCAGGGTCTACGCTGTTGTGTATGTAATATGTTTAAAGCTGTTAAATGATGCGCCCACTTTTCTTATCCTGTGTGACTTACGGTTCCAGATGGTTTTCTAAGGAGCTGGTCTAATGTTTTACAATTTTTCCAAGGTTGGATTTTCACTCATGAAGAGCAGTACAAAGTCAAAGTTCCTGCAGTTTTTGGTGAAAAAAACTTTCAGGCTACGCTAACAGCTGCCAAAGAAAAGAAACAACGAGCAGCGGACGGTTTGATTGGTAAATTTCCATGCAACATCTCACAAGTATGTAATGGTGTGTGGTTCTTGTTGAATGTCTTATGTTTTTCCTTTTGTCTTTCGGTTTGTTGTAAGGAAGAAGACCTGCACCTTGAATTTGGAGCTGAATTTTTTTTTACTCTGCTGCTGAACACCCATTTTAGCATTCCTTCTATAATGGTTCATTTCTGTTCAGTGGCACATTGCAAAGGAAAGTGGCGTAGTGGCTCTAAACATCTGAGATTTCATTCTTTTCCTAAAGATGAAGAGACATGCAAGCTATGGCAAAAGGCAGTTGGGAGGCTTAATCCACCATCTAATTCAATGAAGGTGTGCAGCAGACATTTCAGTGAGGATGATTATCAAATATTTTTACCTGGTATGTTGACTGTTTTGACACAGTCATTTGACTTATCTTAAATGTACCCTTAAATGTAAACTGACTTGTTTCTTTGTTTGTAGGTTGCAAACGTCTTAAGAAATCTGCTGTTCCATCGGTGTATTTACCTTCTAAGGTTGACGCTTTTTCCCAAACTGACGATTGTGATGGGATGATAAATGTGAGTTTCACTTGAATGATTTTGCCAGCTAATGCTTCAACTCTCCAGTCATTGATTGAGAAGCTACTATGCGCTTGCTTAGTCCATAATATTTTTATGATTTTATGTTGTCCAAAGATAATCTACCATTAAAAGGTTGAAGAAAGTGAAGCCTTATTGTTGTATTTGTTTGTGCAGGTCTGTTCAATGAGTCAGTTATGTTCATCATTTGAGATGGAATACGATCCACAACGATGTCCAACTCCTACTCCTGAGTCGCCGCAGTTCTCTGAAGAGAACTTTTTGAATGTGGCTATTAAAGAAGAAATTGACTTGATACCTTCAATGCAGCTGATCACAAGAGAGAGTAGTGGAGAGATACGTTTCAGTCAACCGGAACCAAATGATATTTTATTAAACGATTTTGAATTTGACTTCTTGAGTGGGATTTCCAAAAACTGCTTTCAGAGCCTATTTGCCTTGTTGACTACAGAATCTCTTACGTTGCCCTCCTGTAACATGAGTGCCAAGAATCAGCTCTTGCTTACCTTGTGCAAATACAAGTACAATTTGCCATATCCCATTTTGAACATAATTTTTAAAATCAAGGATTCTGATGCACTTGCAGTATTTTCATTTTGGACTTATCATATTTTCAAAACATTGAAATTAAACTCTTTGGTAGATGTAAAACCAGAGAAAAGCTTGCAACAATCTGTCAGTGTGGGCTTTTTGAAGATTCCTGTACTGGAACCATCATCCCCCTGTGCTCATCAACATGAACACTCTTACTCTGAAAGTTGTCCCTATCTTAAATCACTTGTTGTGATTGATGATGATAGTCAATTGATTTTGTACTGCTCCAAACTTTATGGAGTATTTACACGTGATGAATCCATGTTGCTAGATAAAGAATTTCAGCAGTGCCTTGCTGCAAGCACCTCCATTAAATGGTATGGGGACTTCAATTTATCACAGTTATTTCCTGATAAAGATATTGAAGTTGTTATATCAGACAATATCTCCTCATGCCTATGCAGAAAGCGACATGACTATGGTGCCGTTTGTGCATCTTCTTCTGTTCTGCTTACCAAACAATTTCAAAACTTGATGGCATTTTTCAAAATTTTATCTGAAGGCTTGCCCTATGGCCTCTTAATCATCTCATCTGAAATTGTTTTCAATTGCATGACTATTTTTAATTTTAGGAGTGGATCAACTGAAAATTGAAGTCTGGCAAGCAAGTGTGTCTTATTATTTATTTTTTAAAATTAGAATTTGGAGTGTGTTTCTTTGATATATAATGTTACAGGACTGTGTTCAATGACTGACCTCAGGTGAAATTTAGTGTTGAGCATGCATAAGCTTTCAAAGAAAATGCTTCGTAATTTATGATCTATTTGTTTGTGTAACAAACTAAATGGTTTGTACCTTACGTATGCTCAAAATACTCTGTAAGGCTTAACTATGTGGACACTGCAGGAAATAACCACAACAAAAGTACACAAATTTCTGGCAAATTTTTTATTAGGAATTAAGTGTACTTTTCAAGTACAACAATTGTTGTACAAAATACAATGGAACCGGCATGACGAGTGCTGTGCAGTCCAGGGCTCGTTGTGGTTTCTACAATTCTCCTCGTACTTTCTACAATCCCTGTTGTACCTTTATTGTACAGTTTTTGTTGGTACTTTTGTTGTACTATCCACACTTTTTCTAGCAGTGGATAAGTGTTATCAGCCTGCAAAATCTCAACACTGTCGACTCGACCTTTTAGGTGGAGACCAATAGACACACAGACAGACAGACAGACATAAAAAGTTTCCTACTCTTCTCGAGTAAGAGGCTTCGCTATCGCTCAGCTCATTATTTGCTATAAGACAAGGAATCGAAAGGGAGATGATGCACCCATAGCCCCTTGTAAATTTGTCATAACAATAAAATTGTATTCATTATTTGTATTATATTATTAGATTATTTTTTAAATACTAATTTGTTTAGTGGACAATACTTATACTTCATTCATCGGTGAAGGGTCGACGGTTCGAGCCTTGACTGTTTATCCGTGAGTAGAGGTCGCTGCTGTCGCTTCAGTTGTTTGCCTGGTTGTCCTTCCCCCACTTGAATCCCAAGAACGGGGCCCGCACCACAGCCCTCGAGACTGTTCGTTTCGAGATCGTGTGGCGGAGGCAAAGTTGGCAATACTGACATCATTCCAATTGGCGCCTACACTTTGCCGCCGTTTTCTCCTGTCCTGACCTGCTCCCATTGTACCGGTGCCAGTGTAACCTTTTCTTAATTTCGTCGAGTCTGCTTTAGGCCGTCTTCAGATTTTTTGCTGCATGGTTTGATAGCGCTCATCGAAACCATTGGTGAGTACTTTCCATGCAACTCTTTTAAGTATCTAGGGGTAGGTTGGAGAAGAAAAGTAAAGGGTAAGACAACCCCCTTGTGGCCTACTGCACCAGTCCATGACATCCATATAACAGGGTTTTCCCACTCAGATTTTCATATTCAGTTGAAATAAGTGGTCGAGGGATGGCTACAAGTCAAGATATCAGCTCCACAATGTTTGTACTTTTCTTCCCTAACCTACCCCTATTGCCCCATCTCCGGCATGGCAGCTCCTGGCAAGGATCATGTTTCACGCGGACATGGGTCAATGATCATGAGATTTGCTTTCATCCCTTCTTTGCGTTTACCAAAAGTTGAAGTGATTAGTGGTTCTGTAACAATTTGTTGCATTCATTGATGTTACTGCAAATTTACCAAGAACACACTGAACTACAAAGTCAAGGTTCATTTCGAATGCCACTGTAAACTTGTCTTGAAAACAAGTCAGAACTAATCTCCTCCAACATTGGGTCACTAAAGCTTGCGTTAATAATTGGTCCTAGAATCTCTTTAGTAACCTATAAGACTTGTAAAGCTCCAAAATGAATCTCTACATATTTTTGAATTTTATTTGAACACATGAATGTTGAGAACTTATTACATATCATCTTGCAAGATTTTTGTAACTGTCTTGTTTCCTTTTTTTCGTTTTTAGTGTTTGAAGCCATGGAGCAGCAGCAGGCCTTGTTACTTCTGCTGCAACAGTTCCAGCAAGCTCAGCAAGTGCAGCAGCTATTGAGTCAACAGCCCCAGTCTCCCATGTTGCTTCAGCCTTCGGCGGCATTCCATCAGCTGCAGCAGCAGCTTGAAGCGCAGCCGCTGAGTCCCTTGCAACTTCTACAGCAGCGGAATCTTCTGTTGCCACCATTCCAGCCGCAAGCAAGGTTTGTGCTGGGATACTTTTCTGTGCCAATCATTACAGAGCAGCTTTGAATGATTTCACTTGACTGAGGTTCCAGCATTTTGTCAACATGGGTTGATATCATTTCAAAGATGTTATACCTGGGCAAACTGTTGTAACATTTCAGACAATTCAAACCATTCACTCCTCCAAAATTGCGTTACCAAAACAATGTTATTGTATTTTAATTTTATTTAAGTACCCTTTTATTTATTGCAAATTTTGCACCTATACTTTTCTTTCAGCATCACTGAGGTCCCTGTAAGCAGTCCTTCTGTTGGTCCTTCTCAAAGGTAAGAGACGGTCATAAATGGAGCTCTGAACCTGGAATGGACTCGACAAAATAATTAAATTGCTTTCCTTATTTTTAGCTCTCTCAAAACTTCTGCTCTTGCTGTGCCATCAGATTCCACTCAATCAAGGTTGTATTTTTTAAGACTCTTTCTATTTAATACAGTTTGTTTTGTTAAAGGAAAAATAACATTAATTCTTATTGTTTCACTTTTAGCTGTGCATCTACTAGTGATGCTGCCAGTATCACTACAAGGTAAAAGGATTAATTTTAGTTTCCCCTTTCATAGTGTCACAGTCACATGATGCTTGACACTGTGATAGACAAGGAGTGATGGTACTCTACAATGATTCCTAAATTATTTTATTTTTCTGCAGTTCGAAATCTCAAGTTGTTGAAGTGGACTCAATCTCCTCAGCAAAGGCTGCACAAGCAGCTAAGGAAAGGTATGTGTGAACATTCTTCAATCTTTAAAGATTATCGTATTTTTCTATTTTGTCATTTTTCAACATGATTCATCTACTGTTAAATTTCATTCTTTTCTCAGCTCACCTGAAGAGAAGACAGACAGCAAGAGGTAAACTTTTTTTTTTAGTTTTTTAATTTGAGATATTAATGCGACTAGACCATTCCCTGTGTAACACTTAAAATTTTTTTATGTTTTCTAATTTTAGTTTGGAACCTGCTCCTCTCACTTTTGCCGTAAGCTCGGATTCAGATGAGGACAACGAAGAGGCAGACACTGAATTCCAGGTATTCATTTCTGTATCTAAATTATTTATGTGTTTGAATCAGTCGAAGTTTGTTTGTTTGGACTATTATTGTTGGTGTCAAGTTCGGCTTACATCTGTAATTGCTTCTCGTTTTGGTTAAGCTTTCATTTCTTTTTATTTCAGCCCAAAAAGCCTCGCAAAACCATTGATGATGTAAGTTGAACTGTGGATTATGCAGAATTCTGTCTTTGTTACCACTTATGTCTTCATGGACCCTTTTTGTTCCATAGGGAAAGAAAAAATCATGTAAAGCAGCAGCACCCTCGAGGTCTAGGGCAGGGCGTCCCAAAAATTCAAAAAATAAGACCGAGCCAAAATCTGCCCTCGTAAAAAAGCTGGCAAGTCTTCAGTCCCCCTCCGTTTCAATTATCAGTAAGAATCACTCACCTATTTTTTTTTCTCATTATATTTCTCTGTTCCTGAGTTTCTACTTCATGTCTATTTTCTTCAGATGCTGACAATGTGCCGGAAACGTCAGGGAGGTCTCTCAGATCAGGCTCTCATGGACGGAGCGAACCCCAAGGAGGTTTGCTAATGCTTTCCCTGTATTGGATCAATATGCTAATGAATGTGTTCTTTATTAATCATTTATCCTTTTTTTAGGTTCAAGTTCCAACTTACATCCAGTGGACATTGGTTTTGATTTTACCCCTAAGAAATGCATTGATCCAGAAATTCTAGAGAGAATTGAAGCATGCATTGTCAAGACTTCCACATCATGGGATGATGTTGTGGGTCTTGACAATGTAAAGCAGCGTCTCAGAGTATGTTTGACAGCACAACTTTGATAACTTACCACAATTCTCGTGCCTGTACCACTTCTCATAATGTGTCTTGTTTCAGGAAGCAGCTGTCCTTCCCATAATAAGGCCTGAATTATTCGTTGGGCCCAGGGCAGCCTCTAAGGGCGTTTTGCTGTATGGTCCACCTGGAACGGGAAAAACCATGCTAGGTATTTTTTGATGATCTATATGGTTTTTGTGCAGCATATGCAAATGTTGTTATGATCCATTTATGACACATTGTTCTGCTCTTTTCTTACAGCAAAATGTGCTGCAGCTGCGTCTAACTGCACTTTCATATCCATCAGAGCTTCAGACATAATGTCTAAGTGGATTGGTGATGGGGAGAAGGGAGTGGCTGCCCTCTTTGATGTTGCAAGGTATGTTTTTCTGATGAAATTAATTAAATTGGTATACATTCTGAAGTAGTTATGCTTCAGCCCTTTAACTTCAGTATGTATGACATTGACTGAACTTTGCCCATAGCGTAGTTGACCCAAAGAATGCGTTTGTCATCATACATTTATGCTTCCATATTCATGTTTCCAGGGAAAAGCAACCCACTATCATCTTTATAGATGAGGTTGACTCCCTACTCTCAGCAAGGAGGCAGGGCGAACATGACGCTATCAGGAGGATAAAAACCGAAATCTTGAGTCAATGGGTGAGCTGACTTGTAATTGGCAAAAATAATGATTTGGCATGCGTCACTGTCTTTGAATTTTTTTACCAATTTTCATTAATGTTATTATCATTAGGATGGCCTCTCAGGTGAGAGCCAAAGCCGCATAATGGTGCTCGGTGCTACCAACAGGCCAATGGATTTGGATCTGGCGGCCATGCGCCGCTTCGCTCGGCACTTGTATGTGCCCCTTCCCGACATTGAGGTAAATAATTTATTGAGTTGAATGTAAATTTGAAATGATGACCCCTCAATTTTAACATTCTGAAACTGTTTTCAGGCGCGCAAAGACATGTTCAGGAAGTTCTCCAAAAGTGGGGATGTGAAAGTAAAATTGACCGACTTCGACATTGTAGCCCTTGGACTACACACGTCAAACTACTCTGCAGCTGACATCACAAACGTTCTGAATGATGCCTGCATGGCACCATTAAGAGAGCTCTCCTATGAAGAGGTGGAAACAATTCCACTTGATGAGGTACAGTCTGAATTTGGTGAATATTATTTTGGTTTGATGATGTCATCTTGCCAGAACTATTATTCTAATTCCTTTTCAGATTCGACCTGTATGCAGGGATGACATTGAGAAGACCCTCACCAGTATTCAACCCACCTGCAATTTGGATTCCATAGCCCAATTGGAGAAGTGGAATAAGAGGAGCTTGTGACATGTTATTCTTCCATGTGTATTCTGACCAGCCTGTCTGATCAGCCTAAGACATTTTTGTAGTTGTTCTTTTTACTTTTGGTGAAGTTCTCATTGTCCGTATGTCTGATCACCCTGAGACATTTTTGTAGTTGTTTTTTTTTACTTTTGGTGAAGTTCTCATTGTCCGTATGTCTGATCAGCCTAAGACATTTTTGTAGTTGTTTTGTTTACTTTTGGTGAAGTTCTCATTGTCCGTATGTTTATTGCATTTGCAATTTCCAATTTCTTGTAATTAGAGCTATGTTCTTTACTTCTGGTGAAGTTCTCATTGCCCGTATGTTTATCGCATTTGCAATTTCTTTTCATTAGAGCTATGTTTTTTACTTCTGGTAAAGTTCTCATTGCCCGTATGTTTATTGCATTTGCAATTTCCAATTTCTTGTAATTAGAGCTATATGGCTGTACTACACTTTCAAATATATGAAACCATTTTAAGTCTAACACAAACTAGTCATGATTTCCCCCGAATGCAAATGGCACCAAGACTATTATTCAGTACAGTGGTGTGTGCTGTAGAAAATGAAACGACTCATCCTGCACGCTTATCATATCTTTTACTCTCCACACAGCACTTTCTCAAGATGGACAACTGTGCTTTAACAATACATACAAATACAAATTGTGCTGCAGGCAGCCCTTGGCCTGCATGAAGCCCTTCTGGCACTTGCAGATGGCCCCGGTGCGCCAGGATGCCGGAGTACCTCTTGTAGACGCACGACAACAGGGAGATGGGCCGCTAGTTGTTGAGGTCCTGCTTGTCGCCCATCTTGTGCAGCACTACGGTGCGGGCGGGATCCTCTTATGCTGCAGACACACCTTGAGGACGTGGGGGTCACCGCGCTTCAGGTCCTGTTACCTGATTCCGTCCAGGTCGGGGGCGGTGTTGGTGGCGCGCCGGAGCTTGGCGGCGTGCTGCTTGGTGTCGGGCAGCACAGTCTCTCGCGGCGGCTTGCCCAGGTCCTGGAGGCGCGCAAAGAGCTGCTGGAAGTGCTCCTCCACGGCGTCGTCGCGGTGGACGGCGTATACAGGCGAGTCTTCCTGCCTGACATCGCGTAAGGCCTTCTTGCTGTTGGTGCGGTAGAGCCATTGCAGTTGCTTCCGGGCCTCGACGCCGTTCTGGTCGTCATGGGCTTCTTCACGGCCCCGGCCCCTCTGCCACGTCAGCGACCACGGCCTCCTTGGCTTGACGGAGCTGGTCGGCGCGGAGGCTGCAGGGCTTGCGAGGTCCGCGACGAGGGCCTCGAACACATTCCACTCCATGTCCGTGCTGAGCTTCTTCAGCCACTCTCTCTCTTGAACTTGTTGGCCTTGGGAACGGCGTGGGTTGGCGGCGGCGTCTCGTTGTCAGAGCTTAAGCCCTCGAGGGGGCTCTACCGGTCGTGGCCCTGGCTGCGTGTAGACGTTGAGGCCGGCGGCGTGGTGAAGGCACTTCGACAAGATGGAGGGCCCCTTATCCAACCCTCCCAACTCGTCTCTGGATCCGCACCTGGGGAAGTAACGCGAGGGACGCCAGCGGTGAAGGAGGGACGGGCTTCGAAAAAGTGTCCATACGCCGCCCACTAGAGTGACAGGGAGCGCTTAGGACGCATCCAGGCATCCGGTAGAGGTGCCCCGAAACCCGGGAGCCGGCCACTGAGACCGCTGAGAGGCGCCACGGGGACTAAGCATGCAAGCATGGTCCAAACTCCGAGGCGATTTGTGACAGGGAACGTCCCAAAGATTGATTCCGAAAGGCGATTCGATCGTTCCGTCTCTCCCGCACTTACACGGAACGCCTCATGGGTGCAAGAAAGAGACCGAAGAAAAGTACCTTCGGAATCAGTCGAGATCAGTCTTCAGGTGGTAGAGGGACAGGGCGTGCCATTGCTACGGCGCCTTGAGCGCCTTGTCTGTTCCCGCGTGCAGCACAGAATTAGATAACCATGAGGCTGGCACTGCCCATCTTTTCTTTGCGAATCGCACCATCAGCCTGTCCCATTCGTGATACGGTCCGCGAAGACACCAAAGACACAGGCCGGCCCGCCCGGCTCACTGCCCGGAGCGAACGCCTGCGGAGCGACAGGTAGGCCAGCCCGGTCGGTTCGCCCGCCTGCCGGGGTGCCTACCAGGCTGGCTAAGCCGGCTTGGCCGCCCCCTCTTCCCTCTCCCTGCCGTCTGATTCCGAACACTGTTTTTTCGCTCGTCTCTCTCGCACCCTAACGGGATACCCCATGAGTGCGAGCGAGACAGAGCGACCAAAGCAGTGCTCGGAATCAGACGGCGAGGCCGCGCGCCGCGCTGCGGCCAAGTAGAGGCAGCAGGCGTGCGTGGTGGCGTGGGGAGTGGTGTGGACTCACGGTGTAGTGTAGGCGGTGTAGAGAGACTACTCTCTTTCTTACACCTGAACTGGAGGCTTGGACCTTCCAGGCAGATTCCAAACTGACGTTTGGGCGCCGTCTCTGTCGCACTAATGGAGCGTCTTGCAAGGGTGCGAGAGAGATGATCGACAAACCTTTACTTGAAATCTTATTGGAGGCTCCGCCACTCGTCGTGTCGTCGTGGACGCGTGCGTGCGGCCTGGGTTGCCTGGGGCCGAGGGAAGATCACCGCGGCGCACTGCTTGCTCGCCAGAGGCACTCGCCCGCGGCGCTGCAGGCGCCGTGGAGGTAGGCAACCCATCGTGACAGTGGCCCTGGGCGTTCCCTTCCTGTGAAGCCGCGTCAATGGCGTGCTGCTATTCCCTGACCGTTGCTACAGTTCTCGGCAAGCACGCCGACCTCTCCAATCAAAACCTTAAACACACACACACATGCCATGAGAAGAGAGTAAAGTTAGTGGGAACAGGCTTTCGCGCACCGTCGCCACAATTCCACAATGCACGCCACTCGGCGCGTTGGCTAGGAGACACCATGACGAGCACCTAGAGGTACTTGGGAACCGCCACGCACCCCCGCTGCCCACCAGCGGGGAGCTTAGTTCACATTAACCGCCGCAAAAGGTTGGGAACTGCTGCGCTAAAGGTCTACAGAGGCCTAACAGCGTTCCCAAGGAGAACACTGAGTCACGGGGAGGTCATTTTGACCTAAATCTACATCATTTTGACCTCAAAATGGTACCTAGCCGTGACCTTTTCTCTCATTTTGAGCTCATAGTGACATCAAGTTGACTTTTCTGTTCTCCTTGGGTAGATGATGATGATGTGGCGTGATGTGGTCGTGCGTCGGACAGGAGGTGCACCGCCACCACGAGGCAGAGCACGCGACGCGACGATCCGAGCACTCCACTACTTGGAGCGCGCTGCGCAAAGCCGCTGCACCACCAGGTTCGGCCTGCGGACCCGTCGAGGCACGCGAAAGGTTCCCGCTCGGGGTTCAGCGTCAGCAGCAGGTCGCCGAAGCAGACGGGGGCGCGGAGTCGGCAGGACTCGTTGACCATTGGCCATTGTGGTCTCGGCCGCCGGCGCCGGCCTGCCGCGGCCTCTCCGAGGGACCCTCCCTCTATCGAGCGCCTAGAGGTGAGATGACCAGGACTAGAGGCAAGTGGCGCTCGGTCACCGAAGGGACCGGATGGCGATCTTCCATCCAACCGCCGCACAGTGCGGATTAGCGTGCTGTCTTACCCCGGAGGCTTCGACCCACCACGCTCATTCCAATAACTATCATTTGCGCGCTGTCTCTGTGACACTCACGGGCGGCGTACCGCAAGAGTGCGAGAGAGACAGACCGACAAATCGGTATTTGAAATTACATGCTCCGGCCTTCAGGTCGAGGGAAAGACATGGGCGGGGCGAGTCCAGCAAGGTGTCGGCCGACACTCAGTCTGAGACTGTGGGCGTATGAACCCGGTCTACCGAGAAAACCACTCCTGTCAGTAGGGACGACCCGTCACGTGCTGGTGAATCACCATAAAGGCGGGGCGGGCCCGAAAGGCAGACGATCATTTGTGGTCCGGCCATTAATAGCAATCGCAATCGCCACCAGCATAGGCCGGCCCGGCGCACAGCGGTGCGTGCCAGTGAACTGGGTTGCCTACCTCCACCCTCACAGGCGTTTGCGCTATTGCTGCCGCAGGGTGTTGCTCTCCACTCTCCAGTCGCGTCACTCGCTGCGGCACGGGCAGCCCGGTACGGAGGGGAAAGAGTAGCAACTTCCGCTCACCCCAGTCCTCGGAGCCTAACCTGGACAACCGGAACTCCCGGGCGGGCCTTTAGGACTCCTAGAGCAAGCGCACGGTGGTAAGCTGAAGCGGACGTTGTGTCACATTCGGGTCACATTCGTGTCACTTGCTGAACTACAAGAAGGCCGCTGACCACCACGATGCCGGGAGGCTCCGGTTCCCGTCGGGGCTCTGCATCCGGCGCGTCCGGCTACTCCATGGAGGACATGTTCCATCGGTGGAGCGAGGCGTCGACGGCCATCCAGAAGCAGACAACGGACGTTGCGCCAGCTGGCCATGCAGTCCCGCAACCCGACGCCGCGGCCCGCCCCCGACCTAAGGTTTGACGGCACCATGCTGTGGGCCATCTTTGGCACGCAGTTCCGCGGCGCGGGAGTTCGGCTGGACCGACGCCGAGAAGGGACGTCGCCTTCTCCGTGCCCTCCACGGACCCGCGGCGGCGCTGCTGCAGACCCTGCCGCCCGCCCAGCACACCGACTACGCGGCGCTGCACGCCCGCCTGCAGGAGAGGTACGCGCCAGCCGCCCGTGCCCGCGTCGCCGAGGCGTCCTTGGAGCACCGCCGGCAGAAGCCCACGGAGGGCATCCGTGAGTACGCCGACGCCGTGCTGGGGTTGGTGCGCGAGGCGTACCCCACCTGGGCGGAGGACCCGCTGCAGTCGACGGCACGCCGGGCCTTCATCGCCGGCCTCGCCGACCCCGAGGTGCGCCGGGACATCCGCCGCCGAGACCCGGACACCTTCGCCGAGACCGTCGCCGCGGCCCTGCGGCTGGAGGCAGTCGACCAAGCGGAGCAGCCTGCCGCCAAGAGACCCAGGGTCTGCTAGAGTCCTTAAGCGTCCCTTAAGGACTCTAGGGTCTGCCAGGTAGGGGAAGAGCCTTCCACCCCCGCAGCCGCTGCCCAGCAGGACGCCGACGTGCGCGTGGCCGCCGTCCGCCCGCCTGCCAACGAGGACCGGTCGCTGGTGGCCGAACTTCGAGACCTGCTTCGGGAGATGCGGCAGCCTGGCGCGGCCAACGCGGGCTGAGACCGCCACGGCGACCGCCGAGATGACCGCCGCGGAGGACGCGCACTCTGCTCCCTTTGCAACGGCCTCGGCCACTTCCGTCGCGACTGCCCTAACAGCTCGCAGCGCCGGGACGACCAGGATCGGTCATCGGACCGATAACGCAACTACGCGTACTGCGTGACCCGCCGCGAGCTCCTCGCCATGGTCCTGGCCTCGCCATCCGCCGCTTCCACCACTACCTGGTCGGCCGGGCGTTTCTGGTCCGGTCCGCCCACGCGGCTACACAGCAGGTTGTCACGGATCTCGAGGGACTGCCACTGCAACCACAGGGCCTTCGTGGGTACGCCGGCGTCGCTGACCGACTCCTTGCTGGGTCGGACGCCGTCCTCCACGGCGCGCAGGATGGGGCCGATGTCCGGGTCCGCGGCCTGGACCGCACGGAAGTCCAAGGGCGTCGGCGAGTCAGCGTACACCAGGCGCGTGCGCCTGACGGCGACCTCAGCCGGCGGAAGGGGCAGGTCGCGGCGGGAGCAGTGCCAGCACTCCGGGTCCTCAGGGGCGGCGGGACAGGGCGTCCGCGTTGCCATGGTCCTGGCCGCGGCGGTGCTCGACGGTGAAGTCGTAGGCCGCGAGGGACTCCAGCCAACGGGGCAGCTGCCCGTCCGCCGTGTCACGCAGGGAACGCAACCACTGCAGCGCCGCGTGTGCTGCTGTGCCGCCGCTTCGTGGACGACCGGGACCGCGTCATGCACCAGCTGATCCTGCCACGGGTCTACGTCCCAACCGTGCTCCGCACGCTGCACGACGCCCCGGGCACTGGCGGACACCTGGGCCACAACAAGACCATCGGCAAGGTGCGGGCCGCGAGCGTGCCTGGCAGGAAGCGCTCACCTCCAAGGAGCGGTACCACATGCGCGCCAAGCGTCCGTCCTCCGCCGCCGGAGACTCCGTGTGGCTCTACGACCTCAAGCGTCGTAGGGGCCTCAACCCCAAGCTGCAGTGCTGGTGGTTCCCCTCGTCCCCGCATCGGCCTAATGCTACACTGAACACCCTCACCCGGTACCCCGCCAACAAAAGGCACTCTGTAGCCCGGCTCAATCGGCAATAAACCCTTGACTAGTGCAGACGTGCCTCCTTTCCCGCACACGCCAGTCCCTAACAGTACTTTATTACATGGTGAAATCCTACCATTCCATTCATTTTTTTCATTAAGTAATTTGTGTAATTTATCGCCCTTACATTTTATGTTTGTATATTATGCTTGCAGACATGAATCAAGTTGGGAGTGTATATCCGCACGAATTCTGTCGAATAGCATTTGAGGAAATTCTGCACGATTCGTGTATCCTGCCAAAGGATCGCTATTCGCACGAATCATAAATAATTGAAAAAAATTTACAATCCAAAATTCGTGCGAACAATCTAGCTGTACGACACCGCACGAATCGTGCAGGCCGCTACAGGAAGAATATTCGCACGAAGTGGGGGGTAAATAGCCGACCTTACACGCACGCGCATTCACCGGGTAATTTGACACCAAGTCCATGCCGTTCGTCTGTGTATCCGGCACCGTTGCGGTTCTGTGAAAAAAATCCTGTGAAGAAGTTGCGTCATTACTATATGGAAGTTGAGTCCTGAGGACTCTGTTCACTGAAGAGAAGGTGAGCCTGTCACATGAGGCATTATAGAACTGATGTATACTTGGTTTCTTCTAAGTAACTCTGATATTAACCTCTCCATGTTATCTCTTGACTTGCTCCTTTCTTAACTTGAATCAATTACTTGCACGCAATATAATTTCCAATTGAATTTATTGTCAGTATGACGGAGACAGAGAAGCAGAAGCCCTTGCTCTATGTGGGGCAAGAATTCACAAACTATGATGATTTCGAAAAGTTGCTCTGGGAGTTTCAGTTTCGACACCATACAGTCTTTACCGTTGGTATGTCCAAGAAAATTGAACAAATGAATAAAATAAGAGCTGCTAGGGGGGTAACTCCGCAGCCTCCAGAGCTGAAGTATGCCTATCTGACTTTACGTTGCAAGCGAGGAGGGCCCACAAGAATTGGCACTGGCACTGGAGCTCGTTGTCTGCAGTCGTAAGTATTTGAGTTTTGTGCTCTCGGGGCCTTTTGGCACTCTATTTATGCCAGTTTTTCCTTTCAGAACCTGGAAAGCTGGATGTCCTGCTAAAATACGCTTAACTGCGAGGAAGAACGTGTTGGTCCTGACTGAAATTTGTACAGTACATGAAAATCATTCTTGTGATAAGGCGGAGTTTGACCTAATGCCAGAAGTCAGGCAATACCGCTTAGACAAACTGGCTTCCGGTGACCAGCCAGTCGACCTGGAACTTCTACTGAAGACAAAGGTGAAGCCGTCTGTTATCCGGAACCTCCTGAGGGACAGAGGAAGTGGTTTCATACATCCTAGAGACTTGGCCAACATGCGGTATGTTTGAATGATTTATTTAGTGCAGAAGGCCTTTAAAATATAGGTCTACAGTAATGTCGTTACTATGAACTTTCTCCTTTGTAGGGCTCGATTGAAAAAGAAAAGCACAGGTGGCAAGTCAGAGGAAGAGCGATTGATTGATGCTTTGGAGAAGTTGAAGGAGTCTGACCCTCTAGCATCCATTTATGTAGTTAAGGACCCAGATTCAGGCGAACTAGCCAATCTCTTCATTCAAACAGGAGCCATGAAACAAAATATGATCAACTACGGCAGACTTATTCTTTTTGATCACACCTACAAGATAAACAAAAACAGAATGCCTGTAGCTGTCATTATGGTCATGGACGGCAATGGTGATGGCCAGGTGGCTGGTGTGGCTTTCTTGGCCAATGAAAAGAAAGAAAATGTGAAGAACACAATCTCGGCATTCATTGAGAGCACTGGTGAAAGCACAGTCAAGGAAATAAAGACTGCTGTTATTGACAAAGATATGTCTGAATTGGGGGCATTACGAGAGCTTCTGCCCCATGTGAACGTGCAATTGTGTGATTTTCATGTGTCGAATGTTTTTAAAACTGAGGTCAAAAAACGGTGTGATAAAGGTGCAGTTGATGAAGTTCTGGCTATACTGAAAAAGCTCCGTTTTGCAAAAGATGATATAGAGTTTAGTGAGTTTTATAAAGAACTGCAAGGTGCTGCCTCATCTGAATTCTTAGATTACTTCAATACCAACTGGCTTGAATTTCCAGCCGCCTGGTCATTCAGAGACAAGAAGTCTTCAATTAATCTGGGCAACACAACAAATAACAGATTAGAAAATTTCAACGGCAAGATGAAGCTTGTAAGCTCTTGTTTGTATTAGTGCCTCTATCGTAATTCCTGCCTTGAAAAATACTTATTGTCTTTTTTTTCACTTTCATTCACAGATCCTTGATATGAACAACACTCTCGCAGAATCAGTGGAAGGTTTGTTGGGCATCGTGCAAAGCAAAGAAGAGGATAGCTATTTTAAGAGCAAATTTGAGTCAGTTAAGACATATTACCTCACAAATTCAAAGAACCCCAACCATAGTGAAGTTATTAGCAGCCTTACAAACTTTGCTGCTAAGCTGGTTATTTTTGAATTGAACTCTGATGCAGATGTAGAAGAAGCTGAGGAATATGCAACCACTGAATTGAGTTGTGATTGTACATTTTTTTCTAGCTATGGTCTGCCCTGCAGACACATTTTCTTCATCCGCAAGGAAAACAGTGAGTTGAATTCTATTTTGTAAAATATAAATGTAACATTTTTGTACCATGTATCTCATAAGGTCTCATGTTTGTTTCTAGATTCACCTTTGTTTGACAGCAGCAATGTCCACAACATGTGGAAAAAAGGTGTTACAAGTAGCAACAATCATGTGCCTGAACTGGGAGGGTTCACTGTCAGGGTGGACAAGAAGATTGAGCCAAAGAATCCTGCGGAAAAATACTCAAAGGCCATGGTTGTAGCAAAGAGTCTATGTGACCTCATGTCCCAATGTGGATCTCAGGATTATGCAGAAAAATTTTCTTTCCTGCAGTCCCTCTTCAAATTATGGGCTGAAGGCGGAGAGGCAATTCTTTTGCAGAAAGTGAAGAATAATCAAGTACCATCTTTGAACGGAGAAGGTAATATTTTTTTGACGCCCCTCAAAAAACACAAATAACTAGAGATTAAACTTTTAAAGAAAAAAACTAATCCTTTTTTTAAATCACAATTAGTGTTAACTTTAGATATTCCGGCTGAATTGGATGAAGTTTCTAACACCAGAGCCATCACAGAGGGTGATACTATCATCCAAAGTGCTATCCTAGATAACCCAGAGCAAATTTTAATTGACCAAGAAGAACATACTGATACTTCTAGCCAAGGTAACAATAATCTTATTATTCCTGTTCTTTCCAACCCTACACAACAAGGAATCTTTTTTAATTTATAAAAAATTGAGATATTTTAAATGGAGTATTGGAAAAATTTATTTACTTCAAGCGGGCTATTATTATTAATTACCTTAATTTATTTTTAGTAACTCATGAGGAGAAAAGCTTGGTCTGTTGTTCCTGTGGCAATGATACATCAGGTGCTCACAAGTGCATTAAGTGCGGCAAGACAGTTCATGTGTTGAGTATGTGCTCGGAGCCAGCACCAGGTTCTCAGGAAAAATATGGTCAGCCTAGGATCTGCAAACAGTGCAGTGTGAAGGAAGGTACCTTCTGGTGCTGAATTGAATACAATGAGCAGTGAATTGTGCTGTGTGTGTGGGTTTCAGACCCATGGCACTTTAAAATAATGCTCTCAGTTTCAGGTTCTTCTTGCGTTGGTGACATCATGATTACTACTCCTCCCTTCCATCGTACTGTTTTGAAGAAACTTTGTCATTGTCTGAAGCCTGTAGCAAGGTAAGCTTGAAACAATGACTACAGACTTATGCCATCTCTCTCTCTCTCTCTTATACATTCATCAAATATTTTCTGCCTTCTTAGACTTGTCGCTGGTCCAAATGCACGCAGACCTGGCATGCATTACTTTAAATGCAGAGAACGCAGCAGAAGACCTTTTGACCTCACTGTTGGCTGCAACTTTTGGCTGCCTGCACCAAATCCTGGACCAAATGACTTTGACTTTGGTGCTTCAAACCAGATTGATGTTACCAGTCAGATTGATAATATGATTCAGATTGACGAAGCCGCAAGCACCCCTTTAGGTATTAAAATCTTATTCAAATTTTTTATGTGTAGCGGCTATAAATATGCTTAAGAAGAAAATCTTCTAAAAAAAAGGTGTTTTGTCATTCCAGAAAATCTCAATAATAATGCTGACAATGATGATGGCAATGAAAAAAACACCAGCCTAAATCTGCTGGTACAGGAAATAGAGAGGTCAGAAACCCAGGAATCCCCATCATCAGCTCAAGAACAGTCAGAGAGTATCAGGTCTCAACTCAAGGACTTGAAACTTCCAGTAAATGTTAAACCTAGAGGCCGTCCAAAGAATGTTGGAAAGACCAACACTAACATCTGGCTGGGAGGTAAAAAAACGAATAATTAAGGTTTCTTTGCCTTTTCTTTGGAGGTTTGTGCTTGTGTTTGATAATATTTTATTTAACCTCAGGATCTAAAGGCCGATCCAGCAAGAGCAAGGCTGCCACATCTAGTTAGTTCAATGTGAATTCTTCATAATTCATCTAATTTACATTAAAACGCAATCTGCAATAAAATTTATCTTATCTTTCAGGGGGGCGCATAATGACAGTTGAGGAACGGAGAAAGGCAGGCGTTGATGGGAGAATTGAGAGAGGTAAAAGCATCCCCGATTCTGATGTGAGGAAAGAGGGAAGTGTCTTTTATGTCAGGTCCCAGACAAATGCAATGGAATACACTGTTCAAAGTAGCCAAAGTCCTTCAATTTGTGAGTGTGATACCAGTGTCAAAGACTGCCCTCACAGATACTCCTGCAACTGTGAGGACAGAATCAAGCCCTGCAAACACATTTACAAAGTCCATAATTTAGTTCAAAGTTCCATGTCTTATAACTCTTCTGCAACGGGTGAGTTTTATTTTGCTCCTGTTACTTGCACTAACAGAGAGGGACTTCGTAGAAATGTTAA